CTATGTGATGACCATTCTCCAGCATGATTGGATAGAGAATTCACCAATGGGTTATCTCAATCTTCCTGCTCCAATTGGGACTAAGTCCGAAGGTTATAAATGCCTGTGCTCTGCTATGTGCTCCCCAGTTTTTCGACTTAGTCTTCAGCTCCTAGACGCATTTTAAAATAGAGAAAATTCTAAAAATTAACCATTTCTCACAATTGACTGATTGGAATTAATTAGAGATTTGCAGGCAGCTGCCTGCTCAAGCCGAGCCAACAGGCTCACAAGGCATACAGAATTCCCCCTAGGGGAACATTTTTAGGTCACTCTACACAGCCCCTTTGTTCTCCAGAGACATCATCGAGCAGGAGCCAAGTTTCAACTTACAGATCGTCGGCGCGGCTTTCCTCCGCTAAGCCAGGCTTTCGACACACAGCTGATCGGCGGAGAGGAGGAATCGCTCCGCGAGGCTATTTCGATCGTCGGCGTGGCTTTTCCGGCGCGAAGTGAGGCTCCCGACATTCAGCTGTTCAGCGGAGAGGAGGAATCGTTCCGCGAGGCTGTTCTGATCGTCGGCGTGGCTTTCCGGCGCGAAGTGAGGCTCCCGACTCTCAGCTGATCGGCGGAGAGGAGGAATCGCTCCGCGAAGCTGCTCCAATCGTCGGCACGGTTTTTCTGAGCGAGGCGAGGCTTCGGCGGGAACATCACTCAGCTGATCGGCGGAGAGGAGAGATCGCTCCACGACGCTGCCTCTGATCTCCAACGCACATTTTCAGCGACAGGCTCAGCTGATCGAAGGGGAGAGAACTAGCTGCCTTCGGATCGACTGAGGAGTCTGATCGGATTGACGGAGCAGCGGATTGGCGACCGGGACAAATACCACCAGTGAGCACATTAACTTTCTAATCAGCCACTCGGCCAGAAAGCCGAGAGAGAGGCTTCTAAGGCCGCAAGGCCATTTGCTTAAGGAGCTCAGGAGCTTCCTCCTGGAATGAGGGCTCAGCACCATAGTCACCAGCCAACACATGGCCCGGGCCTCTGGAACCATACTGGGCCCAGTATAGGTGTAGGCCCCAACGGTCGCCACCAACTGTGGGGAGGGGAAGCTCATCCACACAAGGACGCATGGCCTAGCAATAAAACCCCACCACCACCACCCCTCACCTGGGTTGGAGTGCTTTGTCTGGGCTCTTTCAGTGGGTTTAAAGCGCTAGAGGGGGGGCGCCTAACACTGAACAGAGCCCTCGAGGATAGCCAATCATCATGGCTGACCCGGCATCATCATCATCATCATCAACAACAGAGATCCCTGCAAAGAGGAAACAAGGGAAGAGCTCATCCAAGGGCAAACAGCCCGCCAAATGGCCCAGGTCAGACAGAGAGCCCTCTAACCGCCATTCCACGCTGGAAGGGGACACCTCCAGATCAGGGTTTATTAATCCACAATTAATTACCAGCACAGCAGGCGGGTCAATTTTTGAGCCACTATCTGCTCACTCCAACTTAGCCCCAGGGGCCTGGTCTCCTCCTAGGGAGGCAGCGCAGTCCCAGGTTAACTTGTCGGGGCCAGGCTCAGTGACACAGGGGGTGTCTACACAGGGATTAACTTCAGCTGGGGCCCAGTCCACCTTTACGCACTCTGAAGCTGGCCTACGTCCCCCCGAGAGCCAGCCCGTTGATCCAGAGAGCCTCCAGGCTATGATAGCTCATGCTGTGGCACAGTTCATGGCCGCTTCCAGGCCCCAGCACCTTCCACAGGTTTCCCCACCCTCTAGGGGAACCAGCTGTCATCCTGAGCCACTGGACATAGCAGAGGAGGCTTCTTCTGTCCCAGAATCTGTAGGCTACGATCATCCAGGCCTCGTTCTATCTGATGATGAGGGTGCATCAACATCAGATCCGGCCCCACCTGTGGGTCTTTTTGATCACTCCCTTTTCAATTCCTTGTTAATCAAGACCTGCACCACAGGCAACCTCATCCCAGAGCAGGAGGCACCAACTCCATCTACATCGAAGGATCCCAATCCAATTTACGCTGAGCCGGTGGTAACACAGAAACATGTCCCTTGTCCTCCGTTCTTCAGCAACACAGTGCAGAAACAGTGGGAGAATCTAGGCTCTATTCCCAGTCTGGGGTCAACAGAGAGGAATCTCTTTAATGTGGTTCCTTCCTTCGCCTCTTTGCTAGAGATTCCCCAAATTGACGAGCCTTTGAACTCCCTGTTTGCAAATGCAAACATCCCAGGAGATACATCTGAGGCCCTTAAGGCAGAGGACAAAAAGATCGAGGCGGCCTTACGCAGGTCACATCAGGCGTCAGCCTGGGCAGTCAAGGCTTCAACCTCCATGGCCTTCTTTGCTCGAGCCTCAGTACTGTGGCTACGCGAACTTCAGGACATGATTCCACCAGAGCAGGTCCGGATTCACCAAAACCTGGGTAAGTTGGTGGCCACATCGCAGTACTTGGCTGATTCCTCCCTTCATACTGCCAGATATTCTTCGCGGGCCATTGCTGCGGACATCTCGGCACGTAGACTCGTGTGGCTTAAGAACTGGCGGGTGGACTTAAAGGCCAAGTGGCGCCTCGCTACAAAGCCTTACAAAGGGAGGCACTTATTTGGTGCGGCCCTTGATCCTTACCTAATAGAAGGCAAGGACAAACGCAAGACCCTTGTTAATATGGCCAGGAAGGGAGACAAGCGCTCAGGATCCGGGTCAGCACAGACCTACTATCGTAGGCAGTCCTTTTGGACAGCTCCCAGCTGGGGCTGGGGTCAGACATCCCGCACCTCTTACCAGAGACCGGAGCGTCAGCAGGACCGTTCCTCATATGGTAACCGTCTGCAGGTCCAAGGCAAGAGGCCCTCCCGAGGCACAGGAGGACGGTTCTACAAACCGTCCAAACTGAGGCAAGTGATTCAATAAAATCCTCTCCCATAGGAGGACGGCTGTCCCTTTATTCCAACACATGGGCAGCCACCACCACGGACTCATGGGTTTTAAACACCATCACTCAGGGTCTGATGCTGGAGTTTCGGTCCAGTCCACCGGATCGTTTCCGCCCTTGCTCCATCCCCTCGAACGACGCTAAAGCATCCCTCATGTCAGAGGCCATAGCTCACCTTTTACAGATTCAGGCCATAGAACTGGTTCCTAAGAACCAGGAGGGACGGGGATTCTATTCAAACCTCTTCGTTGTTCCCAAAGCTTTGGGGGGATGGAGGGCAATCTTGGACCTAAAAGGTCTAAATTTTTTCCTGAAGTACAGGAAGTTCAAAATGCAGTCTCTGCAGTCAATTTTGGCCGGAATTAGACAAGGGGACTTTCTTACTTCTATAGACTTAACTGAGGCTTACTTGCATATCCCCATTCTACCCGGACATCGCAAGTTCCTCAGGTTTAGTTATGCCCACAAACACTACCAATACAGGGCCTTACCGTTTGGCCTCTCCTCAGCCCCTAGAGTGTTTACCAAAGTACTGGCAGTACTGGCCGCCCACCTGAGACAGGCGCCCATCAGAGTCCAGTGCTATTTGGATGACATATTAATACAGTCCTCCTCCTTCCGGAAAGCTCAATCAGACCTTACCCTTGCCGTTAGGACCTTTCAGGAACACGGGTTCTCCGTCAACTTTCAGAAAAGTCACACTGTCCCCACAACCCGGCTCCTACACTTAGGAGCAATTATTGACACAAGCAGCTGTACGATCTATTTGTCACAGGCCAGCATTTGGAAACTGATCCAGCGGATCCAGAGAACCAAGGTGGCCACCTTGGTCTCGCTATCACAACTTCTGGGGAAGATGGTGTCCTGTGTTCAGATCGTTCCGTGGGCCCGTCTCCATGCCCGGGAGCTACAGTGGCTTCTTCTTCCATTCCAAAGACTACACATCAGCGCTTCCACCCAGAAGGTTCGAGTTCCGCGAAAGGCGTTGAACTCCCTTCGATGGTGGGCCTCCCCAGCCTTGGCGAGGGGCTCAGAATTCAAAGAACCAGCCAAGATCACCCTTACCATGGACGCCAGTCTGTTCGGCTGGGGAGCCCACCTCAAGTCACACTGGGCCCAAGGTCAGTGAACTCAGGAAGAATTAAAGAACAGTATAAACTGGCTAGAGCTCAGGGCCATTCGCCTGGCCCTACGACAATTCAAGGACATAGTAGCGGGACAACATGTCCTGGTACTTATCGACAACATCGCAGCCAAGGCACACGTCAACAGGCACTCGCCTCATCACCATTTGAACATATAGACTCATGTTCCCTTAAACTATTGTCCATGAAGGTGGCATTCCTAGTTGTGATCACCTCAGCCAGAAGGATCTCGGAGCTGGCCGCCCTGTCGGTCAACAAAGACTTGTGTGTGTTCCATGCAGACAGGGTTATCCTCCGACTTGACCCTTCCTTTCTTCCCAAGGTGAACTCCCTGTACCACAGATCACAGGAGATGGTTCTACCAGACTTCTGTCCTAACCCGTCCAATGACGTTCGCAGGGCCCTACTATGTTACATAAACCGGACCTCGGCTTTCCATAGGTCTGAGGCAATGTTTATCTCCTTTCAACCTTCGTCCTTGGGACAGAAGGTATCCTCATCCACAATAGGTAGATGGATTAAGTCCTGCATTGCCCTTGCATACCAAAGTCTATCTTTGCCGGTCCCCAGGCATATAACAGCACACTCTACCCGGGGCGCTGCTACCTCAGCGGCTTATGCAACTCGGGCAACCATAGGGGAGATCTGCAGGGCGGCGGTCTGGTCTTCACCCTCGTCCTTTGTCCATCACTATAAGATCGATAAATATGCATCTTCCAATGCCTCATTTGGTCGCAAGGTACTGACACACGCATTGTCATCTAGCGGGACCCAGGCCCAGACGGATCCTACAGACCCTAAGGGAGGGAGTGAATTCTCCATCATCATGCTGAGAAAAGGCATTCAGGTAAGACAACGCCCCTTTTCACCTTTTTAATCCTTTGCCTGCACCCCAGTTTCTAAAGTGCTGCCTCTATTTCCATTTAGTTCGCTTCCACCTTGAGAAAATTTGCATGATTGTTCTGAAGTCTAGAAGGTTTGTTGAGAGAAATGCCATCCAGCCTCTTCTCTTCCTCTTCATCAGCCTCTTCCTGAGCCCACTGGGGCATGCATTCATGTTCAGAGTTGCTCCTAACATACCCAGGCAAATGTATATGGGCATCGTTCTGCCCTGTGCCATTCCTGCATGCCTTGCTGGAAACCAGCCTCATGCGGGAGCTGGCACCTATCTGAGCCTGGCTGCTGGTGCTCTGGGTCATGTTAGTGAGGACAGAACCACAGTGAGAATTCCCACAAGGAACAGTCCTCTTCCAGTCTGTGGCCACGTTCCATTTAGCCCATGTCTTCTTGAGCTCAGCTTGCACCTAAGGAAATAGAAAATGTCCAGATCAAAATGCCAGGAAGAAGCCAATGTTTTGAACAGCTTATCTCACCTTCACTTAGAATTAAGCTTTTCCTTTAATAGTATATTTATAACTGAATATACTATACTCTTCCACAGGAATTTATAGTTTGCTATGTAGTACACTGTTTAAGGTATTGAATTGGAACTAAAGAAATCCAGATTCAGGTTTTCCCTCAACCAAAATATTATCTGGATGATCTTAGATCAGTTACTATCACTTGGCCAATAATCCCACAGAGTTATTGTTGTGGATGAATTGGAAGAGGGCTATCCCTACAGTATATATTTACTGACCACGTCTGTAGAGGAAAGATGGGATACGAATAGAATAGAATAGAATAGAAGCTGGAAGGGACCTTGGAGGTCTTCTAGTCCAGCCCCCTGCTCAAGCAGGAGAACCTATACCATCTCAGACAAGTGACTGTCTAGCCTAGCCTCTTCTTAAAAATCTCCAGTGATGGAGCGCCCACGATTTCTGAAGGCAAGCTGTTCCACTGGTTAATTGCCCTCACTGTCAGGAAGTTTCTCCTTAATTCCAGGTTGCTTCTCTCTTTGATCAGTTTCCAACTATTGTTTCTTGTCCTGCCCTCTGGTGCTTTGGTGAATAACATGACCCCATCTTCTTTGTGGCAGCCTCTCAAATACTAGAACACTGATATCATGTCTCCCCTATTTCTTCTTTTCTTTAGACTAGCCAAACCCAAGTCCCGCAGCCGTTCTTCGTATGTTTTAGTTTCCAGGCCTTTGATTATCTTCTCTGAATTTTTTCCAAACTCTGAACATCATTTTTGTGATATGGTGACCAAAATTGGCTGCAGTATTCCAGGTATGGTCTTACTAGGGTTTTATAAAGCGGTACTAATACTTTGCGTGATCTTGATTCTATGCCTCTGTTTATACAACCCAGGATTGTATTAGCTTTTTTGGCTGCTGTTGCACACTGCTGGCTCATAGTCAAGTGATTGTCCACTAGGAATCCAAGGTCCCTCTCACAGTTATTGTTTTTAAGCCAAGTCTCACCTAATCTGTACTTGTACCTTTGATTTTTCCTGCCTAAATGTAAATCTTTGCTTTTCTCCACCTTGAAACTCATTTTGTTGGATAGGGCCCATTGTTCAACCTTATAATAAATATATTATAATTAAAAATAAGTAGTAGGTAGTGAGTAGGGGACTACGGCTAAAAGGATATGGAGCAGCAGTAGTACAGCATATATCATGGGAAAAGAAGGAGTCATTAAGAGCACAAGCTTTGGTGATAGAATTAGTTTCAATTCTATTCCCATTATCATAAGATTTGAATTGATTTTAAGCAAAACAAGAGATGTTCCAGAATAAAAGTTACATGTGCACACTGGTTCTAGTGACTGTGAAAAATTACAAGTCTTCAAAATAATAAATTTTTGTATTCTGTGCAAATACTATGACTGATACTTAATGTATTAGTCAGACCTCTCAACTTCCTTTCTATACCAAAAATAAATCTGAAGAGATAATTAGCCAAGTATATTAAAAGGGAAAGCTGAATCATAAGCAAGATTCTGATGCATACTTTTGCTTCCCACTTATTATTACACTTGACCATTCAGTTAAGATGGACATCATTCACCTTTGATTACTTATTTTTTTTTGTAAAGCAGGATCCAATAGTACCTGACTTACAAACCATGCTATCACATTCCATGACAACATTTCATTGGGTATATAATCATAAATAAATGCTAAGAGTCAGGGCAACCCATATAATCTCCCTCTCATGCAGAGAAAGTTCCAGTTGACATTAATCTGTTATTCTGTTGTTAAAGTGTTCAGTTTTGGCGATAGTTCTGGTCTTTTTAAAGTCAATTTTATGTCCTGTGGCTTTAAGGTGTTGGACCAGGGAAGAAGTTGGTTCCTCTTTTCTGACTGAGTTCTTGTGTTCTTCAATCCCATGCACCGACTGCCCCACCACATACATCGGACAAACCAACAGAAGAATAAATGCACGCATTGAAGAACACAAGAACTCAGTCAGAAAAGAGGAACCAACTTCTTCCCTGGTCCAACACCTTAAAGCCACAGGACATAAAATTGACTTTAAAAAGACCAGAACTATCGCCAAAACTGAACACTTTAACAACAGA